CTCTCTCTCTCTCTCTCTCTCTTTCTTTCTCTTTCCCACAAGATAGAAAATGCATTTTGTAAACAGTATTAATGTTTAATGAATTCAATGAAATAAAACTCTGAAATCTGTCCAAAAGCCACTCGACTCCCAATTGTAAGTGAATTGCATTAAACATTAATTGTGTTGAGTTTTAATAAAATTTTGTTCACACGTGAACATCAAGTGTTGATTGAATGTGTGTTTAATATTTAACAAACCTGTCATTAATTGGATAAATCCTATACTTTCCGGCAGAAGAATATCTATAAACTCTTTTGGCGTTATATAAAGTGAGGAAATATTTGCGGTCCGGCGATAATGAAAGTCCCGATAGTCGTAAGCGTTGCTATTGTGACAAATAATTAAATAAATTTTATATAATTTAGCACTCGTTTTGTGATATTATATTATTAAAATTTTTATATTCCTCTTAATTGTGTTTGGCTCACATTTAAATCTAACATAGTTAATGCAATGGTACAGTAATAATGTCTATAAACTAATTGCATAATAATTATATTGTAGATCATTTGAATTTACGAAACCTGGTTCACCAATAAACCTAGATTATCTACTGTCAAATGTATTGATTAATATTTTGTTTTTGTTAATTAGTTCTCATTGTTTATTAGAACATAAGGATGATCTATTAATTCTAAAAAATTATATAAAATCTATTTTATCACTTATAAAATTCTTTTACCATGGTAATATACGGCAATTATATAATTAACTGTAAATGAAATATAATGTGATTATTGAGTGAATGCATACTAACTATGGTTTTGAATGGTATAATAATATCATTAGTCAACTTCAATACATTAAAACTGCATAAATTGTTTTTGGAGTCGTAATGAAGCACTTCGTGGTCAGAAATCCATTTGCCGTGAAACAGGCTATAACTCAATTCACCGGAAAGATAGTTAGCAAAAGTGATGCCCGGTTTGGACGACACTGTGATTGGCTTTTGATCGGTAATAATGTCGACAAAACTTTGTCCTTCGGTTATTTTGCGTAACGTATTGTTATACATATCAATTCTGGACGCGTTTTGTTTCATTTTGATCTCTTTCTGAATACGACTCCAGTATTCCTCTGCGTTCTCGCCGTCGCTATCAATGATCTCGTCGTAAAATATAGCAAATGCCAGAAACGCTATACTTAAGCACATTAAGCCAATGAGGAATAGGACACCCAAATAGCGGCTCAGCGGAGACTTTTTCTGTACAATTCATTTTAATATTGATTTGTTATGAAAAGTTTATTTTTAAACAATAGATGCAATTAGTTTTGAGTCCTTTATAATTGGATTCATTGTATCATAAAATACAATGGCTTTGTATGCGTTAATATTTTTTAAATTTATCATCGTTTGCGTGGCTTTCCGTGAAAAATAAATTACTGACTTGTTTTGAGAACCTATTAATGCAATACTTAATGCACTGAACATAAAAGGATCTCTAATTTGTTAAATATTTTCAATGAAACTGAAATTAACCAAAATATTCATTCAAAACATTTAATTCTAACATAACTTCTATAGAAATATTGAATTAGAAGATGAATAGGAATTGCGATTAAATTATCATTTTTTGCTAAAACAGTAAATATACAGAATGTAAAAAATTATCTCCATTTTAATCGCGTATAAAACTAATCATTATATTAGTGTTGATAAAAACGGCGATTGAAATGAGACAATAAGATGGTTGTGAAGGGTGTGAGGGCTCACCGAATCGTCTTCGTAGAGGTGTGTTGTACTCAATCCGTTGGCGTTTCCGTTGCCAGTGTTGGCAACGGAATCGTTATTGTTATTCACTTGATAAGTGCGGTTCATATTTGGACTCCCAGTGAATGAAGTCGTCGCCAGATTTGGCACTTCATAGAAATTCTCATTTATAACACTATTTCTGTTATTACCAAATGTTTTCGTCATTTTTTATATTATAATTAATTAATTACCTATTTTTTGCACTACTTTTCAATTGCTGTTTAATAATTAGAAATATTATTTCTGTGTAAACTATTCATATCACTCGCGACGCCTATTATAAGTAACGAAAGCATTTTATTACAAGAAATTTAATACTTATTCTTAAACATTAGAAGTTCTTTTAAGCTATACCTTTAATATATAAAAATTATGAATACCTAGAAATATTTATTGACAACGTTTTAGTTTCAATGTTTAAAAATGTGCCGTTTTTTAAATAAAATTTAATACTTTTGTTATATTTGAGACATTTTAGAATAATATTTGATATTTAATTCATGATTAAATAATTTTACAAATACAGTGCAACCCCTCCATAGCGAACGGCCAAATGCATGACTAAATCGTTCGTTATAGAGAGGGTTCGCCCAAGAGGGTATAATTTAAAATGTTAATAAAATCATTTATTATATAAGAATTTAATG